AATCAATTATAATGCACATTTTGCATTTTGCATGTAGTTGGCCGAAAACCTACACGCAAGTGCACGTATCGTACAAGTAATATAGTGGACATTTAAGTCCGGATATCGAACCCACAGGGAATATTTAATTACTTAATCCTAGACGCTAAATTCTAGCAATTATTATCAAGCCCACCCTACACAGTCGAATTTAGAGAGAATTAACTAAATTAAACTAAATTAAAAGGCAAGTAGAAACAAGAAAGCAAATAAAACGAAGATTTAACCAAAGTAAACGAGCCTAGGATTTTATTCTTCCCCCTATGTGATTATTACTCCCCCAATTCCTTCAATTATGCAAGCAATTAACCCGGATTATTAACCTGAGATGCTAAAATAATCATAACCCGCTTCCGCGTGTATTACGATTCTAATACTCTAGATTCAATTACTATATTCCTATGCAATTAATTCTAGAACACATCATTAAGCATAAATCTCAATAATGGCTACCTAAGAGATTAACTATATTCCTATGTTAATACCACAAAGGCTCTTCTACCACAGTTCTAATTATTAACCGCCCGATCTTCCGATTCATGCGATTAACAATAACATAAAAGCACATAAGTTGATCAAGTTCATGCACTTAATAAAACAAGTAGAAGAAATAATCCGGAATTAAAACTTGCATAAAATCATAGAATTGGGTTCATAAATCCCACATAGGGTTCCAAATAAAATCCTAGAAATAGAAAATTAGCTACTCGTAGTTCTTATGATAAATAAAATAAAATAAATAAATTAAATAAGAAAAACTATGCTTGAGTCTTCGTTGATCTTCGTTCCTCGCGTTTTGTGGTGTAAAATTTCGTAAAAAGATGGATCCTCAATTGTGTGCTTGGCTTGGTCTTATATAAGATGAAGAACTTGGGGAAGAAGGCAGTTTCCTTGTGCAATTAAAATCCCTTTACTGCGCAACTTCGGAGTCTCGGACGGGGGTCCCACAATTTGCACTAAAACTGGGACGGGGGTCCGAGCTTTAAATCTTCAGAATTTTGATATTTTCACTTTTGACCCATATTTTCGCCAAAATTGCAGTTTTGACCCCATACTTTTCCAATTCTTCAATTTGTACCTAAAATACAATAAATCAACTTTTTAAGCACCAATTATCGTTAAAACACACCAAAAGCTCAAATAAAAAGATACGATAAAGTGTAAAATATACACTTAACACATGTTCGTATATTTTTTGTTTTTGTAATATATAGTTGATTTTGCATTTTTTCGCATTTTTGATTTGTTATTTTTGATTTTTTAGTAGCAGATTCTTAATCGACTATGCTCTGATAGTCGATTAAGGTTGATCGACTCCAATTTTTTTTAGTTTTTTTGGTTTTTTTGTTTATTGATTCCAACTGTATAAATCAATTATAATGTTCTTATATTTTTTTGTTTTTTTGTAAAATATAATTGATTTTGCATTTTTTTGCAGTTTTGATTTGTTATATTTAGTAGCAGACTTTTGATCGACTATGCTTCACCATAGTTGATTAATATACTGATATACAAAAAAATTAAAAAACAAAAAACAAAAAAAATTTAAAGAATTTCCTTAATCGACTATGAAGCATAGTCGATTAAGGCTAATCGACTATGCTCTATAGTCGATTAAGAAAACTGGTACAGAAAAGAAGGAAAACAAATTGAAAAAAAAAAGGTACTGAGCGCGTGACCTAATGATTATGTGGTGGGCGGGGGCAAAGCTGGAAAACATAATAACTTAAAATGGGTGTGGACTTTTCTCAAATGTAGAGAAATATTTTGAACCTCTCTTCATTAAAAAAAATAATGAAGGGATTTCCTCAAAGAGCCCCTATTTAGTAATTGCTTCGAAGTTTAAATTAGTTAAATCTATAGGCTCTTTGTTTGATTTACAGGCAGTTTGATTACCGTTATGTGGACTATGTATAATGTAATATATTTATCAAGTATTCGGACCCCATTAGGACAGTTGGTACATAACCTTTACTATTAGAATAGATGTCTAGGATTCGATTTTCGAATCATTCGTACTTTTAATTAGAAAAAAATGTGAGAAACGTGTTAGTAATATATATGGAAGAACGAGTTTTGAGAATTGATGAACTTTATATGTAAATAACGAGAGATCATACCGTCACATATGAATTATCAAAAAAAAAAAAAAATACCGTCACATATTTATTTTGATTTACTCTTTCTTTTTCTTTTTCTTTTTCTTTTTTTTTTTTAATTTTTTTTATTATTTTTTGATTTTACAGTGTGGCCATAATAAATAGTAAGAGCCATAATTTTCTTACCTCGTCAAGTTTATCGTGAACTTCAAAAATGACTTCTGGATTAATAATCAAATTTTACATCTAAGAATAAGTTTTCCATATAATTGAAAACTTACGAAACGATTAATGAAAAGAATATGATCCTTTTAGAATATTAATTCTCTATTTTAAGTTTAATCAAAAGGGCATTTTTGTATCTTTCTTGTTACCCATGATCGTACATTTTTTTTACTGGGTACACACTAATTTTACATGTCACATTTTTATTGGCCGATAGTGGTCCGAGAAATGCGACACCCTCAAACTCTAGACAACCTCCTTAGAAAAATTGGTACCTAATATTTAATAATTCCCAATAGATATATAATAATTCTGCTCGCTCCTGACGATCGTTATCCCAAGAAAAAATTGCTGCCATGGTTATCGTCAATATTAAAGACGAAATAGAGGTTTTACCCAAAAGAATCGACGCCGTTGCTATCACCGTTAAAGACGAAACAGAGGTCCGTAATTTTTCCGAAATTCCGAAGTTTTTTTCTGAGTTTTTAGGGTTCCAAGATTTTCGAAACTTGAATCGGAATCGGATGTAGAAAAGTAGTTCCGAAAACAATTCGATTTTGTCGTCGAGGATTCCCTGTCGGAATCAGATTTGTTGCCCTAATGGAACCCTTGATTTTGTACGATTTCTCCATCAAATACACGATACCTCCTATTCGACGAAAATAAAAATAAAAATAAATAATCTTCGTATAGCATGGATACGTGTCTTTTTGTGTATGGTTGAATGATCGAAAAGTTTACGTTCGTATTTGGTGTAGTATCTAATATCACCGTAAGAACTACGAATCCTCTTAAACAAAGAGTTGTGCAGTTGAACCTAGGAGTAAAATTCAATTGATTTAGCGAAATATTAAATTATCGAACTAATAATTTAGTAGGTTTTTATCGAGTTGGGACCAAATGAAACTATTATTCAAGAATTTATTGTTTAATAATTTATCGAGGTTCTATTGTAATTCTTTGTTTCTTCATTAAACTTCACATCAAACGGAAAAGAAAAAAAAATAATAATCGAAGAAAAAAAATCACTCTTTCACATTAGACGCAACTTTATCGATGCAATGGACACAAAATTAAAATTTGTAATGACTATCTTACTACAAGTATTAATAAAATCGTTGTTATTTTTTACCAGGATGATATGTCCGAGTCCGAATCCGAGTCCGGATTCGAGTCCGAGTCTGAGGATGATATGTCTGAGTCTGAAGATGAGTCCGAATCCGAATCCGAGTCTGAGGATGATCTGTCTGAGTTTGAAGATGAGTATGAGTATGAGTATGAGTCTGAGTCTGCAGATGAGAATGATGAGTCTGACTCACTTTCCGATGAATCTCTGGCTGCAACCGCACGCGAGCTCGATATAAATCCGGAAGAGTACCCTAGAGAAACTTTGGTTGCAGTGGCACGTGGTCGCGGTAGTATAATTCCAGAACAATATCCTTACCTTTTACCGGGCTCTAAGCCGGTGCCTCCAGGTTGGATAGTCGCACATAAAGGCTACCGTGCAATCCCCGGTGATTGGACAGCTTTACCTCCGACCACAGGCCGTGGGGCCCGCGCTGCTGACGTGGCCGTTCCTAGATACGTTGTCCCCGTTCCTAATGTTGATGATGTGCCACGTGCACCCGCCCCGAAGTCTATTCCGCCAGGCTGGAAATCACTTCCACCAGGCTGGAAGGTTCTTCCGCTTGGCTGGGGTATGGCTTATTGTGAATTTGAGGTTGCGCCTCCCACCTGGCGTCTTATTCCGATCGAGTATCGGGTCGTACCCTCTCCACGGGCACCTCAGTAAGGCAATAATACACGTTTTTAGTGTTGCATAATAATACACGATTTTAGTGTTGATAGTAACACAATTTCGACTTTATTTTTACGTATTTACTCGGTTAGGAAATTTTCGGAATTTTCTTATCTAGATTCAGGAGGGATTTTTTCGTAATAAAATCGGAACTTTCAATTTTACTTATAAAATATATTGATCTAACCATATAAATTTTAAAACTGTAAAGATTCTGTTTTTTTCATGCCACTTTACTATAATTTATAGATGAAATTATGTATATTTAATTACATAAACTATATTTAAATACAGAGCTCTGTCACAATGGAATAATTTTAGTTCAATTATGAAGATGGGACTAATAAATCTTATCAATCCTACTAGATAAATTTTGTATTTACTTGCCTCAATTATCAATCTGTCAACACCACCAAACGTAACATAAATATTTCTTAAAAAATCAGATTAAATAAAGTATATATTATAATAAAATGACTCATAATGCAGTGCAAATAATGTATTTTTAGTTGCAATTTATCACACTGTTTCACAATAGAGAGAGAGAGAGAGAGAGAGAGAGAGAGAGAGAGAGAGAGAGAGAGAGAGAGAGAGAGAGAGAGAGAGAGAGAGAGAGAGAGAGAGAGAGAGAGAGAGAGAGAGAAGCAAAGCATCAATGGCGAAAGCTCATGTAATGATGGTACCATTCCCAATGCATGGCCATGTAATTCCCTTGTTGGAGCTAGCAAAGAGCTTAGCCAAACACGGAACGAAAATCACGTTCGTTAACACTGAGATCATCCACGAACGCATCTTCAATATCGATCGTCACAAACGAGAAGCCTTATTAGAAGATGGGGTTCGTTTGGTTTCGGTTTCAGATGGATTGGAATCGAACGAGAGGTATATTCCCGGAAAGCTAATGGAGGCGGTGTACAAAGTGATTCCTCAAAAAATCGAGGAATTAATACGAGAAATCGATGACACGTCCAAGGAAGATAGGATTACTTGTATTATTTATGATCAATCCATTGGTAGCATTCAAAAAGTCGCCGGAGCAATGGGAATCCGATCGGCGGCATTCTTGCCCGCTGCGGCGGCATCGTTGGTGCTGGGATATAACATTCCGAATCTGATTGAGGATGGAATAATTGATGGTGAAGGTAAGTTTCTTATTACCTGTTTTTTAAATTATTTTTGGATAAATTACAATCAACCCCTAAGGTATGTGATAATAACTTTAAGGTCCCTATGATATTGATAATTACTAACACCCTCCTGAAATTAATGGAATGTTCGGTCTTATGGAATCATATAATTTTATTGATTTATAGATGATGTGTTCGGTTGCAAAAATAATATTTGAAAACAAGGTATAAATAGATGCGTATGTAGTTGCAAGTGTTAGGCCTCGTTTGGTTCATAAGATAAGATTAACCAACGTAAAATTAAATAATTTTATGATACTCAATTGTATTATTGTATCCAATAAGTGACTCTCAATTAGTCGCACTAGAACCATTTTCTCATAATTGCCGGTCGACCCCACAAATTATTGGACAAGTCGAATTATTTAATTAATCATGTTTAACCTACAACCAAACAAGACTTTATAGGCATACTATAGTATTGACAATTGAGGATTCATATGGTTAAAATGTTGAGATAATTTAACTGCAGGAGCACCATTGAGCAACAAGCCGATCCAATTTTCGCCAACAATGCCGATTATGACCCCATCGGACTTCGTCTGGCACCGCATCAAAATCCCAACCGTCCAAAAACTAATCTTCAATATCATGATCCAAAACAACATCGCAACAAGCTCCGTGGACCGTCTGATCTGCAACTCGATCCACGATCTCGAGCCGGGCGCATTCGCCAGCTCGCCACAAATAATCCCAATCGGCCCTCTCCTCGAAAACTCATCATCCTTACAAGGGCATTTTCGTCAAAACGACTCTAACAAGTGCCTAGAATGGCTAGACCGTCACCCGACCTGCTCCGTTATATACGTTGCATTCGGTAGCCTAGCAATGTTCAATAAAGCTCAATTTCAAGAACTGGCCGTCGGGCTCGAAATTACGGAAATGCCCTTCTTGTGGGTCGTTAGGCCCGACAACCGGAACTTCCCGGAAGGTTTCTCGGAGAGAGTTTCGAGCCGAGGGAAGATTGTGGAATGGGCCCCGCAGCAGAAAATCCTCAGCCATCCTTCGATTGCTTGCTTTGTGAGCCACTGCGGATGGAACTCGACTGTCGAGAGTGTGAGTAATGGAGTTCCGATTCTTTGTTGGCCTTATTTTGCGGATCAATTCATCAACCAGAGCTACATTTGCGATATTTGGAAAATCGGGCTGAAATTTGAAAACGACGACGTCACGTCCGGAGAAATTAAGGACAAGATTCGTCGGCTGATCGAGGATTGCGCGTTTAAGGAGACGGCTTTGTGTCTTAGGGAAAAGATCGAAATTAGTGCAAGAGAAGGTGGGAATTCTTACAATAATCTCAAGAATTTTATCACTTGGATAAAGAATTAATGATATAATTAAATTAATTGTGTGTGTACAATTTAATGTATGTGAATTAATATTTACCAATTGTTGCACGTGGTTTAATTACTAAGGTCCAATTAATGCTGCCATGCCATATAACATGGCATGTGAAAGCAATTACAAACCTGGGCAATCCTGTCTGTTTTTTATTCAGATATCATGTGAAGATTTAATTACTATCTTCCATTGAAATTGAATTCAATTTTTTTTTATCTTAGTAATTTTTATTTTTATTATTGACTGAGTTTATAGTAAAAAAAATATTAATCTAGTAAATAATTTAGTTTCAAGACTGATTTTTTTTTTTTTTTTTAATATTCTTGTCTACCTGGAAGCAGCTGCATGGATTTCTGCTGCAGACTGAGAAAAGTGAAGGTTTTTTTTTTTTGTCTTGAAAAATGGGGACAAAATTTTATATATAAGCCCTTCATGTGATTCATTGAAATGGTGAAAGAATAAAATAAGAATATTCATAATCCTTGTTTACTAGTTCATATATATTTGGATAAACTAAGATCGGTAAATATTTCTCTTTTTGAATCAGTTTTGTAGATACTACACCCGATGAAATACGCATAATGATTATGTACCGTTGATCTATACACATACCAATATGTATGTGTGCTTAGTGGATAGTTAATTATATAGACTTATGGTGTAAAATCACTCGATGTTTTTTTAATAGGTATAGCATCTCATTACTCATTGACCTTTTGAATTATTGAGAAGATAATTAATTGATCAAATTAATTGAAGTCACTAGAATCTTATTGCCAATTACACTAATAAAATTTGCGTAAATTTGACAATCAAGAAATTAAAATACAATATTCAAGAAAGAAAAATGAAATCAAGAAACTCATGATATAACACAAAGATCCCCTATAAGAAAAAAAGGGGAATTTTTTTATTAGAAATACTAATCTACTAATATATATATATATATATATATATATATATATATATATATATATATATATATATATATATATATATATATATATATATATATATATATATATATATATATATATATATATATATATATATATATATATATATATATATATATATATATATATATATATATATATATATATATATATATATATATATATATAAACTGTTGCCATGATAACTAATTAATTAATCTCATTATACTAATCAAGAAAATAGAATTAAAGAAAACAAAAAACAGCCTTCTTCATCTTCTTCTTCCTTTTTTTTCTTCAAAAATAAATAAAATAAAAAAATATTTTTTTTTCTGGATTTTTCTCCTTTTCTGCAATTACTATACATCATTCAGATTTTCATGAGGTTGTGAGCCGTAAAAATCAATCAATTTCTGCAGAACAAGAACCTGAGTTTTCAGAAGCACAATGTAGTCGGCGGTTTCTTGAAAAAGCTGGTCGGGCTTTATCTCTACGTTGTCCGAAGGTACGAGGTTCTTTAGCGCCTCCAGCTTGTCGGAAACCGAGGCGGCGGCGCCGCCATCAACGTCACCGGCCCTACGGTGGCGGGTTTCTGGTTTCCTTAGCCTTGTGCTTGAGTTGGATGATTTTCTTCTCACCCTTTTCGTGGAGGTCGCCGGAGACGAGATTCTTGGCTTGGAACCCATTTTCGCCGGTGTAGTGACGGTGGTCGGTGGCGGCGGTGGAGGAGGTGACGGTATAAGTAACGGATGAAGAGAAATGGCGTTATGGGGAGGGAGGTATATGTACTGAGGGTGATGTGGGGCAGTAATATAGTACCACTAATTTTCTTTGGAATCACGAGAATGCCATTCGGCTAATTGAGGCGCATTTTTAATATTTTATTTATGAAATATACCAATGTGGTCTATTTAATTCAAAATATTAATTAACATGTGACTTTACATTATTATATACTTTGTTCAAAATTTAAATTTTGAATTTCCTATAATGAATTATATAATAAAATTCAATACCCTTTTAATTTCTAGAGAATTTTTAAACTAGGAAATGAGTTATTTCCGAAAAAAAAATTCTCGAGAAAGTATTTCGTACTTCGCCAACTAAAATTATTGCTTTAAATTTTTTGGCATCTTTTGCATCAAACACAACATTTCCGCACATAAAATCTGCGGCATACTAGGTGCTTATATTTTAGGTATATTTCGATTTTTAAAAAATATAAGATTTTGTATTGATAACGACATTGAGGATA